CAGGAATTGGTAGAATATCTAGAAACTTGCAAACTACCCTAAAAAAATGCAGTTTGTGCTTCTGGGGAGTCGCTCGGTTCCCGTGCTGTTCTCCAGGACGGTGCAGGGAGGTGACCTCCGTGGACGAGGCACCTGCGGAAGCCACCGGAGCAGAAGGTCGGGTCAAAGGTGCCTTGGGCTCTGCTGGCTTGGGTGCAGACGGGTGTGGGACACGGTGGCTGCGCCGGTGTGGGTGCTGGTGGGCGTGGGCAGGGCTGTGGGCTGGCGCTGGCTCCCGCGCTCAGGCTCACTGCCGGCATCCTCCGGGTATCGGTGAGGGCTCTCTGACGGGGCTCTCGCGTGTCGGTCGAGCTGAAATTCGAAAGCCTGGCTGATTGTGAATTCAGCCGCGTCGGTAACATATGCAGCCCAGTCTTTGCTCTGAAAGAAAAGCTGATGAAAGAGGGAGGAACACAGTCTCGGTGGGGAAGAGGCTTTTGGAGGGGAAAAATTGTTTGAAAAATAGCAGAGAGGGGAGGGGAAAGAAGTCTGCTGGGAAAGGAGCGAAACTGTGTTGCTTCCTTGGAGGTCTGGGAAATACATTATGCAGAGCTCCAAACAATGTTTGCCAGCAGCAAGTCTGCTTAGCTGTGTCCATGCTGCTTTCCTTGTGGTTTTTTTCTTTTTTTTTTTTTTTAATAGCCAAACTCTTTCTTTCCTGGGGCCCAGGGTGATCTGTGACTCCCGAGTTTGTGTTAGGAACTCGTTTGTCCGCACGCTAACGATGTGCTCTGGTCTGTGCGTGCCGTTAGTGTGCGGGGAGAAGGTCCACCTGGCACGGTCCAGCCTGATCCCTGGGAGAGGAGAGGGTTTGACCAGGGAAGGGCTTGGCTGGGTCACTGGTGCTGGCTGCGCCGGAGCAGCCTCACGCACCAGCAGGAGCCGAGCAGGTCTCTTTGGGGCTGGATGTCCCCCCTGGGGTGGCCTCAAAGCTGGAACCTGGCAGGGGTGGCCTCCCGAGATGGGGACCCTGCCTGGCGACTGCCGAGGAGCAGGGTCAGCCCCTTCCCCTTTGCACTCGCGTGGCTCTTGCTGGGTTTGCAGGAGCCGTGCTGGGTCCGCGGGGGTCCCTGAGCCCTGCGTAGGGTCCGAGGAGATCGTGGTGGGGTTTGGCTTGAGTGCATTGGCCCTAGGTGCTCTCTTGGCCGTGTTCTCCCTGAGCGCTCCGCTCTGCTCCGTGCTCCCGCGCGCAGGGCTCGTGCCGCGTGCCTGCTTGCACCTGGGCGTTTTCAGTCACCGTCCCATTTATTTTAACCATAAAATCATTAAGGTTGGGAGACACCTCTAAGATCCTCAAGTCCAACCGTCAACCCAACACCACCATGCCTGCTAGTTTCTTCCCTGTTGCCGTGGGTCTCCTGTTTGTGGCACGGGGCTGCTCTGCACTCGGAGAGGTCCCATTCTTGGCCCGAGCTCTGCCACTGAAGCCTGCAGCTCCTCCGAAAGGTGACCTCACCTCTCTGCCTGTTTCACCGAAGGTGAGCTGGGTCGTGTCCTGCTGGCACGTGCCACCACTGGAGGTCAGGAGGATGTACGAGCAGTAGGGATGTCCCTTTGCTTCTGGGGCTCTGGTGTTGACCTTCCTGCCCCTTCCCTGTGTGCTTCCAGCACGCTGGGCTCGTTTCAAACAGGCTCGTTAACACATAAGCACCCCGAAGGTGCTCCTGTACCCTGGTCTCCCCTGGGACCTCCAGGTTTCCTTTTTCAAGGCAACATCTGCTCGACTGTCCTGCACGGGCATCTGTCCCCATCAGAGCCACTGAGGAGGACCTGCAGCAAGTGGAGGTGTCCCAAGGAGGCCTTTCCTCTGGCTGCCTTGGGAACCCCCAGCAGTACAGACACCTTCTGGGGGGACTGAGGAGCGAGGGGGGGTCACGGCCAGGCGCCCTCATCTCTGTCTGCAGCTGGACCGCAGCCTCGGGCGCGGAGCAGCGTGGCCCCGGGGTCGTGCTGTCAGCAGGAGCGTTGGCAGGGAGGGGTTTCCCGAGGGGCCGATCCTTGGGGTTGTGCAGTTTCTGTAGCTTTCCTCTGCGGAGACTTTTCTCGTAGAGGTTTTCTGACGTTTTTGCCCTCTGGAACAAGCAGCATCTCCGCTGTGCTGTGTGAGCCCCTGGAGAAGCAGCAGAGCCTTTTTTAAGGTTTGAAAGGTGGTTGTAGTGAGGGGGGGTTGGTCTCTTCTCCCAGGTCACCAGTGATAGGACGAGAGGCAACGCCTCAAGTTGTGTCAGGGCGGGGTTTGGCAGGTTTAGGTTGGATATTGGGAAAAATGTCTGTACTGACAGAGTGGCCAGGCACTGGACCAGGCTGCCCAGGGCAGTGGGGGAGTCCCCATCCCTGGAGGGGTTCAAAAAATGTGGTGATGTGGCACTTTGGGACATGGTTTAGCAGGCGTGGGGGTGGTGGGTTGAGGGTTGGACTTGATGATCTTAGAGATCTTTTTCAGCCTTAACGATTGTATGATTAATGCTGACTGATGGATGCAAGATGTGATCCCGGCTTGTGCACGACAGCGAGCTGGTGCTGAGCGCAGGAGGGAGAGCGAGCAGGAATAGTCTCCTGTGGCCATTGCCACGTCGTGCTGTCCCTGAACGGTGGGTGACAGCTTGGGTAGTGCTGGAGGAGGTTTCACACCTCCTGGGTCTCTCCTCGCCTTGATTTGTGCATCGTGGACGAGCTGCCCCGCAGCCGGCATCGCCCATGCGCTCGTCCCGGCTTCGCCAAGGGCAGGTGTAGCTCTGGGCAAGGTCTTGCAGCCCGCGGTGGCCGAGCACCCACGGTGAGATCAATGCCCTCCCCCACTTCACGGGGCTGTGCCAGCGTTCGCAGGCGGTCGTGGGGTGCTTTGAAAGGGCAACGTTTGAAGTGTTGGCCTGCAAACCACCTCCGAGACGGCCACGTGCTGTCGTGCTTGTAAGGAAACGTCTTTATTTGTCCTCTCTGAAAGGAAGCGATTCCCCCTCCGTGCCTGCGCTCTGAGCGCGCCCTCTCTGCCGGGGGCTTGCAGCAGCCCCCCGCCTCGCCAGCGGTGTGCAAGTCCCTTCTTCTCCCGTGTTTTTCAGGCTCCGACCGCTGGACATCGAGTTCATGAAACGCCTGAGCAAAGTGGTCAACATCGTCCCCGTGATTGCAAAAGCCGACACGTCCTCCGGCCGCGGCTCCGCGCGATCCCACGTGGCCGGAGGAAGGGCCCGCGCTCCAGCCAGCTCCGCGTGTTTCTCTTGGATCTTTGTCAGCGCAGGAGAAGTTTGGAGCTCTCAGCCTCGGGGCTTGTTTCTCCTGCTCCTGTTGTCATTTTCAGGCTGGTTCCTGTTATTTTGGGAGGCAGATGGTGCTGCACGTAGAAGCTGGAAAACCCATCCTGTGCAGCATCGTGCACTGATACAGGAACCGGGTGAAAAAACCAGTGGGTTTGCTGAGCTGGGCAAGCTTTACTGGGGAAGCAAGGCATGAAACTCCCTTGGTCAGGAGCCGGCGGTGGGGAGCCGCGGAGGGGCTGTCTGAAGGCAGAGCGAGGTGTGGGCTGTGCTCCGTGCTGCTGAGGGGTGGAGATGCCCCGCTTCGGGGTCCGGTGAGGGGCTGCGAATCCGTCCGTGTAACCGGGGGATGGGGCTGCAGGCGTGACGGCCGCGGCCTTCCCTGCAGAGGTGAGCAGGCCACCAAGCTCCTTGGTCCATGAGCCTGAACTGCAGCAGGGGAAGCAAAGGGAAAGGGGTCGTACCAAAAGGGCAGCTTTAGGGGCCACCTCCACTGGGTGTGGAGAGGATGGCACGATCACAGAATCACAGAATGTTTTGGGGGTTGGAAGGGACCCTCTGTGGGTCCCCCAGCCCAACCCCCTGCCCAAGCAGGGTCACCCACAGCAGGCTGCACAGCACCGTGGCCAGGCGGGGCTGGAATATCTCCAGAGAAGGAGACTCCACAGCCTCCCTGGGCAGCCTGGGCCAGGGCTCCGTCACCCTCAGAGGGAAGAAGTTCTTCCTCGGGTTCAGCTGGAACTTCCCAGGCTTCAGTTTGTAAACTGGGCCGGACCCTGGTCTGACAGTGGCTGTGGCAGCGAGGGACCTGCTCAATGTTCACCCCTGCCTCAGGCTTCAGCACAGACGAGGCAGCAGGGCTGGCAGGTCTCACATTGGCTTCCCCCCGCCCTAAAGCAC